AGGAGACACACCCCCCCCCCCAACCCCCGATAAAGGCACCTTTTCTCGGCGGAGAAACAGGTGCTCCCGGAGCCGCACACTCACCCGTGATGACGGAGCCCTCGGACCCGGGGCCGCTGCCTAAGTACTGGTAGTCGGTGAAGCTGAAGCTTCCGGAGCTGTCCTCCCCGAGGGACTGGGACATGTCCTGGATGCTGCCCATTTCCTGCAGGAACTCTTCCGAGAGCGGGCTCTCCAGGTCGTCGGCCTCGAGGGGGAAGAGGGAGCAGATCGGGCTCTCGGTGTCCACCATCCTGCCCGGCGGTGCCGGCCGCCCGGCCCGGGCCGACCCGCTGCGAGGAGCTGGAGGAGAGAGAAGCGGCCGGTGAGACTGACCCGAGGGACGCGGCGTCCGCTCACGGAAACGTCACTTGCCAAGGAAGGCACCCTGGACCCAGCTCCACACACTGACGGGCGGACCACCTTGCCTCTGCTCCAGCCTTTTTTTTTTTATGTTTTTATTGATTTTTTTAGAGAGAGAGGAAGGGAGAGGGAGAGGGAGATAGAAACATCAATGATGAGAGAGACTCATGGATCAGCTGCCTCCTGCACGCCCCACACTGGGGACCGAGCCCGCAACCCCGGAGCTGGCCAGCGCCATCAAGCAGCCTGCCTCCAAGCTCAGCAGCATCCAGCGCCAGCTCCTGAGCTCCCTCAACCTGCTGCTGTCTGCCTACTCCGCCCAGGCTCCAGCCCAGAAGGAGTCCCCGGCCCCCTCCTCCTCTCCACCACCAATGGGTAAATACTGGTGCCTGAGACAGGGAACCATTTCTCCTTAATGGGACAAGCCAAAGGGGAAAGGGGCTTTAATTGCATGCATATGTTTTTAAAAGATTTAAGCACCTCTGGGAACCTAGTGTTATAAAAACTGACCTATGTAACAGTGGAGGCTCTGTGCCCCTATTCGTGTCCTTGCTCTGAGGTTAGGATTGACTGCAGGATGTACAGATATAGTACAGGGCACAGAGATGCATGGTGGGGGGGGGGGCGGCGGGGGGAGCTGGGCTGTGTCTCACTTGGGTCCCGGCTTGAGTCTGGACAAGCTAAGAAAATGAAAATCTTTAAACACAAATGTTTAAGGCACCTTTGCCAACCGGGCCGGGAATCAGTCATTCATTAGTCACACCGCCTGCTGAGCTCAAGCCGCGGATCTGAGGCGGCCGAGGCGGCGGCGGACACAAAGTCCCTGCTCTCCCGGAACGCAGACGGCGAGCAAATAAACACATACATGGACGGCAGGTCAGAGGGGCACGGTGACGCAGGAGGGCGGACGGGAAACGGACTCTGGTCCACGCGGGCGCCCGGGGGCGGCCGCCGAGGGGACAGTGAGAGCTGAAGGAAGGCGGGGTGAGCTGTGGAGGGGTCGGGGGACAGTGTCCCAGCAAATCGACAGCCAGTGCCAAGGCCCAGGGGGGAAGCAGCGGGTCGGAGCCTGCTGGACACAGGCAGGCCAGTGGGCTGAGGCTGGGGCCCGGGGACAGCGGGAGGGACAGGCAGGCGATCAGCACAGCATGACAGGCCCTCCGGCACCCTCGGTCAGCCACGTGGGCACGCCCAAGAAATGCTTGTGCAGCAACAGACACGTCAGAGTTTAAAAAAATCTAAGTAGGCGAGTCCCCGACAAAGCCAGACAGGTTCAACTCACAAGCGAAAGGACGCTCTCCCGTGGGCACTGCGAGGGCTGAGCAGTGTCCCCCGATCCGTGCGCTGGGGTCCAGCCCGGCCCCAGGACGTGGCCGGACTTGGAGACAAGGAGGCGGCGGCGAGATTAAAGGTCTTCGGCGTGGACCCCGACTAATCTGACCGGTGTGCTTAGGAGGAGAGGGGATCGGACTCACAGAGACCCTGGGGATGTGGGAGGGCAGCGAGGTCGCCGCCTGCAAGCCACAGAGAGGCCTCCGGAGACACCAGACCGCTGACTCTCAGGTCTCGGACTCCGGGCCACCGGCCGTGAAGAAGGAGCTGCCTGCTGTCCGAGCCGCTGGCCCCGTGGTCATCTGTTATGGTGCCGAGCAGAGGAACACGGGTACAAAGTCGAACAGCGTGTCTCCCGGGCCGGCCGGCCAGCCCTCTGCTCAAACACTGAAGCCACGCCCTGTGCCCTCCAGACCGACGGCCCATCACCTTGGCACCTCTGGCCTGCGCACCTGTCTCCAGCCGGACCTCGCCAGCGCCCCCCGCCCCCTGTGTCCACGACGACCAGTCGCCCTGGCTGGGGACGCCCAGACCTCGCCGGCTCCACCCACCTCTGCGCCCTCGCAGCGTCCAGTGTGGACACTTGTCCAGCCGGGAGCGTCAGAGCACCAGGGGCTGGTCTTTGACTAACGGGACAAGGTGAGGCTCCCGGCCACTGCATCTCGGGAGTTTGGATGCTTCGAGTTCTCATCATTTCATTTTCAATTGCGT